GGAAAAAAAAAAAAACCAAATCCCTGGGAACGGGAGCTGCTCCATGGCCAGGATGTCACCGTAGTCTCCTCCCCGTGTAGTGGATGTGTCCAGATTAATTATGTTCATGCAACTGCAAATTCTGTATTGTTGTCTCTTAGAAGTGTAAACTACTGAAAACTGGGCCTTGCTGATTATGAATAAAGTGATTAAAAACCGGTCTTTACACAAAGGGCAGAGTTTGTCTCCTTTAAATGGAAATATCGGGGGGGGGGGGGTTTCTTCCTTTATTGCATTTTAAAGTGTGGGGGGAGGAAACCAATTGAGAAACGGACACAAATCCCACGGGAAATGATTCTGGTTTCATCTTCCCTGGGGAAGAAATCCCTGGAGCTGACCATGTGGGGAGGTGTCAGAGGCATAGATGGGACAGAGCATTCCAAAGTACCCTGAGCATTCCAGAGTCCCCTGAGTGCACGTGGAAAAGTGCTTTATCAATTCCTGGTGGTTTCATTTAAGAGCACTGGGATGTTCCAGGGAGATGCTGCCACTGCAGCGTTGTCAAAAGGCACCTCTAGAACTGCTTTTGGTTTGTATTTCCCTGCCCTTTAAAATGTTTTTACACCAAACAGGTTTAAGTTTTCCTTGTTAATCCAGAATCAAAGGCAGGTCACGGAGCTGCTGGAGGACAATTCCTGCCAAAACTGGACGAGTTCACTGGGTGTGAGGCCGTGAACTGCGATCAGGTGTCGGTACTTACAGACGTCAAAATTAACTTTATACAGGAAGAACTGCTCGGCATCTTCCGGGACACTGACGGGGACTTTAAGGATGTTTAAGCAAATTCCAACATAGACATCCTCGAATTTCACCGGCCTGACGTGGCCCATCAGCTCATAAATCCTCAGGGCCAGCTTTCCATCCAGGACATAGCCCATCCCACCGCAGTACGGAGGGTACGACCTGAAGGGATATTCCCGGTAGGAGATGGATCTGGTTCTGTCGAAGCCCCTGTAGACAAAGTTGTCGATGAGGGGGTAGCCGGTGAAGAGGCTCTCCGAGGAATTGCGCCGCAGCAGGAACTCCACCAGCCTGGGGGTGTTGATGAAGACGTCGCTGTCGGTCTTCATGAGGAACCTGGTGCCGGGGCAGAACTCGGCCACCCAGCGGAAGCCCATGATGGTCTTCAGGGTGAGGTTGTCGTAGGTGTCCCTGAAATCCTGCTGGATGATGTCTCCATACAGGACGCTCTCGTCCTGCACCGACAGCTCCGCCGCGCCGCCTCCTCTCGGGGTGTCCTGCCCCAGCAAGAACAGGGTCAGGACTCGGTGGCCCCACCAGGAGCTGCGAGAGCCCCACGTTATCCTGATGGCCTGCCTGGCCTTCACCTCCTTGGGCCTGGAAGACACCAGGATGACCAGGAACGGGCGGATGTCCTGGCACTTCCAGCGCTCCCGCAGCGTGAACGGGTAGTTCTGCTTGTAAACGGGTTCATACTCGTAGAAATACATCAGGTTCACCTTCTCAAGCACAGCGTTGGAAGGAAAGGTTATGTACAGCGTTGTTATCGTGGAGAACACCAGGAGGAACACAAAAACCCACTTCAGGGGCCTGGTGGGCGTGGCACCCACCGGGACCAGCGTCATGGTAGGTGTGTGTGGAACTGCAGTGGTGACCTTCAGAATCCATCCCACGAGTCCTGGGGCATCTTTCTTGCTGGAAAAGAAAGGAACAAGTAAGATTCAGAGTGGTGTTATCCAAACATTACCTTCTCCTTATCTCAAGTGCCAGCAGGAAGTGTGTTGTGGAGGCAAATCCCACCCTCCCTGGTTCAGCTGTTCCATCCTGCTCTCCATGGATGCTCCACTGCACGGAAACCTCACGGCTGTCACCTTGGCAATGCCCCCTGCATCAACCTGAGCTCTGCCAGCGTTGTCATGTTGACCAAAACCGTCACCATTTTTACCATCAGCCAAGCCATGTTTGGATTTGGGACACACACCAGGCCAAGGTGCGTGTCCTCAGCAGGTGCTTCCAAACCCCATGGAATCTGTGCAGAAGCCGTTCCTGCAGTGCCAGGATTAGAGATTCCAATCAATACATCTTCCCAGAACTCAATTTAAACCTTGCACCCTCCACGCACCACTGTTTCCCTTCCCTGTATTCCTTTAAAACTGCACATGCCATGCTCGTACATTGGACATCTTTAGGAATTCCAGAGGATTTGGGATGTTTGCAGTAATGACATTTACCCTGCACTGCAAAGTACTCACAAAGGCACAGCAAGGGTGATGGAAGGTTCAGTTTCTCAGCACGATTAATTACTGTTTATCTTGAAAAAATATCACCACAGGGCTTGTAAATGTTTTGTATTTGACAAACAAATCCAACCCCCAGCACAGCACACCAGAATCCAAGGGGATTTGATTTGCTCATATTTCTGTGTAGGATCTGACTTTAAATTCATCAGCCGTTAAAAGAAAAATCTGGAGCACATTTCACAAACGATATATCTTTAAAATTCACCAAAGATATATCTCTAAAATGGATTTAAAGCAATTTTGTATACATAAGTATTTAATAGAAGAATTTTGGACTGATCCCTCTCAAAACCAGTAAGTAACTGGTAGGAATCTTCTCTCTGTATCCACCAACTTGACTTTCAGTGAACAATATGAAAATACACAGTGGAAGAAAATAATTTACGTTTTATAAGGAGGTTGAAGCAGCGAGGTCTGAGTGGAGCTGGACCTTCTGCCCTGTCCTGGTGCAGGTGCAGCCCCTCCAGCTTCCCAGGGTGGCTTCCCCACCACCTCCTGGCTTCATTTGCTTGCACTTGTCCCCTTCCAGCTCTACAGCAGGTGCATCAGGAGCAGCACCAGGTCAGGAACTGCTCCTCCCAGGGAATTCCTTTCATTTGTTTCCAAGCTCACAACTCGCTGGCTCAGAGATGGTGCCAACAGATCAAACCGATGAACTTTGGAACAAACGTGAGGCAGCATGTGCTGAACATGCTCCACAGGGATTTCAGATCCATCTCCCACACTCTGCTTCAGCCAGGGAATCACGGAGTGCGGACATGCTCGGCAGGAAAAAGGTGGGAAATTCTCCTATTCGTTGAAGCCTGACAATTCAAATAACCGTGATATCATCCAATTTAAAGATTTTAAAGTATCTTAATGCTAGATGTATAGAAAAATAAATCCTTTTTCTCTCTAAAGCTACCAGCAGAAATCATCTGGAAATACATTCCTGTCCCTGGCCTCGGGGACAGGTTGGATGGAGCTCTGAGCAACCTGGTCAGTGGAAGGTGTCCCTTCCCACGGCAAGGGGTGGAACTGGATGATCCTTAAGGTCCTTCCAACCCAGTCCAGCCAGCGATTCCATGTTTTTCTCCCTGTGCTTTACAACCAATCTAGGGGAAATTCTGCAAGACGCCGGCGTAACAATACTCTAAGAGCTGTTTTTTTAAAGGACTTTCCAACAACCACTTGCTCTCCCTTCTGCCCGCCCGATCCACCCCGGTTCTCTGTTCCAGGCTCTGGATGAAGCAGCGCAGGGAGGGCTGTGCGAGGGGCTCTGCTCCCTCTGCTGAGCCCGGGCAGAGAGTTAAAGCCCTCCCAGTGGATTTTATTAAAATCAGGCACCGGAGCCTGATGGGGTCCCGCTCCCATTCCCGTTCCAATGTCCCGTTCCCATTACCGTGTCCCTCCTGGCGCTGCGGGCAGCGGGAAGCGGCGCCTCCCCTTCCGCCTCCCTGAGCACCGGGAGCGGCCCCGCCGGTCCCCGCCTTCCCCCGCCGGGCTGCCGCTGGATCCCGGGGGATCCCGGGGGATCCCTCCGGCAGGAACCCGGAGATGAGGCCGGGCAGGGCCGGGAGGAGCGAGCGGCGCCTCCTCCCCGTCCTGCCTGTGCCGCTGGAATGGCCCCGGTGTGGATCCACTGCCCCCATCGCAGCTGGTGACTTCAGTGAAGCGTGGAGTGGAATAGCCTGCCCGGGCAACTCGGCGACCTGCAGAGTTTACACAAAGCTGCCGGGTTGACAGGAGGGTTACTGCGCACAGTTTGGGCGCAGATTAGTTGGTGCTAAATCAGCTGTCCCGGGTTTATGGCTCGGGGTTATGCAACCGAACCTACAGGCAAACCCTACACACGAGATAGTCCCGGGCAAACACACCTTTGGACAAAGCAAAGGTGGATGTTCCATCCGCGCTCAGGAGCAAATACAGGGTTAGCAACCAAATGCATCGCACCCTGTCCTGCGGTTTGATCTCACACTGGTTGTGAACTCTGAAGCAATGCAGGGAATCCTCACTGGAAGCGGCTCTGGATCACAGGATCCTGCTCTGAACCAAACTCCTGTGGGCTCTGGTACAGTTAGAGATGACCAGACCCCGATGCCCTCCCAGGGCAGCTGCTCCGTGCTGGCCTTCACTTTAATTAGCTGGTGAAAATCAGGCTCTGCTTGATCACTGCTGTGAGGTGACAGCCTGATGTTAGAAACGACAGCAGTGACCTTAAACACTGAGCACAGCTGGAGCAAGCACAGAGCAGAGAACTTGTGTGAGCTTCAAATCACAGCACCATCCATCCCTGCCAGCCTTCGCCCTTGCTCAAGACACCATATTTCCTCAGAACTTCCATGTTTCCAGGGAATTCTGATTCATTTGACTGTATTACACACTGCAGAGTTTCCTCCCCATCTTTCAGTTCATTCCTATACATTATTTATAAGGAAACACAAACCCTTCCTTCCCAGATTTAATACATCGTGACCTGCTCCTGCAAAAAGTCCTCCACGTAATCTACACGTGTTATTAGCGATGAAAAATGCACAGCACTGAGCACTGTCATCTTTTGTTGCCCCCAATTAGTTCTGGTCTAACCCTTTTAGCTTCAAGAGATACCAGATTATAACTTGTCTGGCAAGGCTTGAGGTTGGTTTTACGCAACGTGTAATATGTGAGCAATCAATGTCGTAATTATTGGAATGATTGTCCTATCAGTCAGCAGCTCGTTTGGCCACCAAGACCTTCACATCTTTTTGCTGATTGTGTGTGTTCTGAAGCGAAGACAAATGGTTTCTTGGGCGTGAGAGCGAGTCAGGACTGCAGCACTTGGTATGTGTTGGGCCAGCCCAGCGTAGGTCTGTCTACTGTCTGAAAAATGGAATTCAATAACATTAGTCTAAATTTTCTATCTCCTCATGTTTTATTTTACTGCTTAGAATGCTGGCAAAAGGAATGATCAAGGCGCAGCTATTTCCCTAATTCTTGTCTTGTTCCTTTACTGAAGGAAATCTTCATCAGTGGGCAAGCACAGAGCAGAGCAGAATGAAGAGGTGGTTGATTTCGGGCGGCGGAGTCTCAGCGATGACTGGTTCATAAGGTCTGCATTTGCTCATTTTACCATCACACAGAGCGCAGTTAAACTCGTTCATGCAGACAGAACCCCCGTTCACAGCCCTGGCAGGAGGAGGCAGTGCTGTGGTCAGAGGCAGCTGGAGCAGAGCCCACCTTTAAAGTTCTCTTACGGTGTGATTGAGTCCCTGGGCCTGGGGAGACTCAGATTAGAACCCACCGATCCCAGAGTCACGCTGAGCTAACAGGGAACCCAGCAGGGTCATCGAGTCCAACTCCTGGCCCTGCACAGGACACCCCAAGAAGGACACTTTTGTGCCTGAGAGAGTTGTCCAAGCCCTCCTGGAGCTCTGGCAGCCTTGGGGCTGTGCCCACTGCCCTGGTGAGCCTGGTCAGAGCCAACCATCTGCCAACCACCCTCTGGGGGAAGAACCTTGTGCTGAGATCCAACCTAAACCTCTCCAGCTCAGCTCCAGCTGTTCCCTCGGGTCTTGTCACTGGTCACAGAGTGAAGAGATCAGTACCTGCCCTTCTGTTGCCCCTCAGGAGGATGATGAAGACCCCAGTGGAGTCTGACCTGTCTCCTCCAGCTGAACAGACCAAGTGCCCTCAGCTGCTCCTCTTGTGGCTTCCCCTCCAGACCCTTCCCCACCCTCGTGGCCTCCTTTGGATTCTCTCTATCACCTTAATATCCTTTTTATACTCTGGTGCCCAAAACTGCACACAGAACTCCAGGTGGCATCAGTTTGCTGCTGAGACATGCACTTTGAGGGCACCTTGTCAGTTTATGGATTGATAAGCATGGACAAACCTTAGGATTTCCCCTCCCCACTGGCTGTGTTTATACACAATTCCTTTCCCAAAATGGATGTGGACGCAGGGATTGATCTCTGAGCACGCAGACTCTCTCCAGCTCAGGGATCAGGGAGCGCAGCCAGGCTGCTGGTCCTGGAAATGTGGATGTTCAGACCTGCTGGAAGGCAGCAACCTTTGTGCCCGTGACCAACTGGCAGGTTACTCACGGTGTCCCACCCACAGGCTTGGCACGGAGGGTGCACCTTCAGGAACGCTGCCGGGCTGTTATCAACCCGATAAACCACGGGGCTGTTTGCACAGAGGTTTGTCTGACTGCAGAGCACGGAGCTGCTTCTTCCCCTTCCTGCCTCTTGGTGCTTCATCTCCCGCAGGAGGAAAGACATCCATGCAAATTGGCTTCGGGGGAGAGAGGGGGAACATCCCAGCCTGGCTGGAGAGGGGAACTGCAGGGCAGAAATGGGCCACCAGAACACCAAACCCTGCAGGGTGAAGCAGGCCAACATAGTGATGCTGGGGCTGGATTGTGCAGGAAAATCCACCCTGCTGTACAAGCTCAGGTATGAAGATGCTTTCCTGACCGTCCCCACCATCGGCTTTAACGTCGACATGATTGAAACCGGGCGGGATTTCACGCTGACGTTTTGGGACGTCGGAGGGCAAGAGAAAATGAGGCAGGTCTGGAGCAATTTCCTGGAGGGCGCAGATGGACTGCTGTACGTGGTGGACAGCTCGGATAAGCGACGGCTGGAGGAGTCCAGGAGAGAGTTTGAGCTCATCCTGAAGAACGACTCCGTAAGGGACGTGCCGGTCGTGGTGCTGGCGAACAAGCAGGACTTGCCCGGAGCTTTGAACGCTGAGGAGATCACCAGGAGGTTCAAGATGAAGAAGTTCTGCAGTGACAGGACGTGGTACGTGCAGCCCTGCTGTGCCATCACGGGAGAGGGGCTGGCAGAAGCTCTCCAAAGGGTGGCCACGTTCGCCAAGCAGTACAGCAGATCCAAGGAGTCCTTCACAATCCTGAAGGAAATCTGAACACTTGAAGGATTTCTAGCCTCAAACTCTGGAGGATGTTAATGTGTTTTGTTGGACAGGCTAAACCTGGAAATAATGGAGCCTGGAGAACTGTTATACAGAAATATTTATAAAGAACTTTGACAATATTGAAGTCTGCTGTTATACTCGGTAGCATTTTATTATTTTTTTTTTATTACTTACTCGGGGTTGTTCAGTTCAGAAGTGTGGCTGTTGAACGATGAGAAAGGTGGACTTGAGCACCTGGAAGCAAAATAGGTGAGAAGTGTTGAAATCCCCTAAAATCAGGTCATTTTGTAAGATGCAAAGTCGTTTGTTCAGCAATGATAAAATGCTGTTTTGTAATAAATACTCTGTGGGTGTATTTCTTTTATATGTATATTTATATATATATATATATATATGAAATAGTGGGTTTAGAGGTTAAATGCTTAATGATGTCCAAGAGAACTTGTTGGCTATTACTGCATTCTAGAAACAATTACTCCAAGCAGATTTGAACAAGCAGGATCTGCCCCTCAATCAGCCTCAGTGTGCATTTCTCAGGAAAATGAACTTCCCAGTCATGGGCTCTGGAAAAGTCGTGGCTGTGACCCTGGAAAAGGGGTCCTCTTGTGCACCTTTTTTTTTTTTTTTGGTGACAAAATGATGATGCCAAGTCATCCACGGAGGAAAACTGAGTTTTCTTCTTACTAATAAACAGGCAGGAATTTCAAGTTCCAGGAGGGTGAAGCAGCAATAAAATCACCCGGCCATCCCCTGGTGTCTCATGAATATATTATTCAAAGGGCAAAAAAATCATCAGGTGAATTTGCTGAAATAGTAAACAAAGGGAGGTTTCTCAAACAGAAGCTGTTGTTAATGCTGAGACTGATTACCAGGGGCTAAATCCTGACTCACCTTGAGCCAAAAGGAGAGCAGGGATCTGGATTTCTCATTGCCTGGGCTGCTGATTTCGGTTCAATATAAAATATCATCTTCTGTCCCCAGGAAGAACTTTGAAAGTCATTAACATGAGTTTTCCAAACCCAGCACAATTCAGTGCTAAAAGAAGTAATATTTCAAATCAATACATTCCTAAGCATTTGCATTTTATGGTATATATTGAATTCTCTTAATCCAATCGTGGGTCTGTTATAAACCTCAGTTTAGTTTCCTGGCCTCGGGGCTCCCTCAGGGAGAAACGCTCCGGAGAGATTTAATGAGGGTGCTCCAGGGTCTCTAATTAGACAAGAAGCAAGTTCTGGAGGGAGAAATAAAGTCCTATAATAGACCAGCTCACACAGCTAAAAATGAGAATAAGCTTTCAGGCACACAGGCCCTTCTGCAGGTTATCAAATTACAGCAAATGACACACCAGCTCGAAGAAATATTTTACATTATGCTTTAAAGGAGAGAAATAAACTCTATTCCATTCACTTTACGGAATATCAAGTACTTAAAAACTGAATTTTCAAAGAGCTTGGTTTCCCAGGGAAGTGAAGCCTGTTATATCTGCCCATGGAGACCTCAACCTTTTGGAATAATTTTGAAGCTTTAAAATAAATATCGATCGAGCTGGAGGTGCAGGTTCTC